ATTCAGGGGTAAGCCTAAGTTTTTAGGCTTGGAAGGAACATTGCCCTTCCCCAGATAATGGCACCAACTGATTTTGAGGTAATTAGATTTAAAGCTCAAGATGGCATAAAGTTTAACTTCCTTTAAATATGTGTAACATTGTAAGGTATAGTTTATGTAACTCAGAAGGAAAAATTCTGATTGCCATTAGTTTTAAGATTGGTCCATTTGATTATACGTTCAAGGTCTCAGTGACATGTAAACTCATTGTCCCAAGGTTTGAAACATTTCCAGGGACATTGCTTAGATTAGTAATTAAACATTAGTTTGGAGTTAATAAGGTCTAAGGTCACAATGGCTTAAGCATAATATCCTTCATCACCAGAAACCCATAAGGGGTTAGCTCAAGTTCATACAATTTGGTTGGAATTAAGATATTATTTATTTCCTTCTACAATATTGGCCATCTTCACACTTTCCCTTCCTGTTAAGACAGCATGGATTGAATAAAAAATAAAACTATAACTGTAAAGAAGTCACTGGTGTACAATTTTAAGAGTAAGAAAAAGAAGATATGCTGTTCATTTGAAAATATTTTATTGTTGTTTTACTGCCAATGTTCAAATACATGTTTCAATTTATCTGTGTTTTTGTTATTTTAACAACATTCCAAAATGTGTCCTGAAACGTGCTAAAAGAAGTGTAGTGTAAATTAACATTGAAAGGTATTTGTAAAACATTGTTACAATCTGTGACCTTATTTGAATTTTAAAAAAGTACATTTGACATCAGAAAATAGAGAAATAAAGAAAGCCCAAAATGACAAAATTGAAACTGTTGCAGGCTCTATTTGGTGAGCCTGTTGGAAAGTGCAAGTTACCTTCCATGCCCCCCTAGCACCAGCTTTAGCAGAATTCAACATTTGAACATAAAGTGGTGAAATTTATGGTTTTATGCCATACCGGTGTACATAATCCAGAGATTAGGATTTAATTCTTGGCAATCTTATTTTCAGTGGAATGCAACTGTTCAGTGTTAACAGAATAATATTTACACAGGTTGCACTGTGTTTGTATTGGAATAAAATTCTCATTAGTACATTATTTTCCATAATGTGCACTTTTACAAAAGGCTAACATAAAAATCAGGTCTTGAGTGATCATTTTCAAAATTATAGGCATCAGAACTTTAACTTGGTCCTTTTTCCATTCTTGTTTGCTTATAAATGAAGTATAATTATACATTATCATATGTCAAGCGGTTGAGTCTGTAGATGTTAAATATGTATTGGCTTTTGCATGCAGTTGACTGGTTATTTAATCTGGTAACACCCTATACAGGTTATTACACCAGATTGCCAAATTATATTTCTTTTCATTATAATTTCCTAACACAGACACTTTGGTTTGGAGCTCAAAACGCCTTTAAAATCCACAAAAAAAAAACAACTTAATATAAGCCGTTTTGAGAAAAAAAATCATATTTCAACATCTATAATATAATACAGATTGAGCACCAAAGCCCAAGTGTCTGTGTTTCATAATATTTACATAACGCACACTACTGTATGCCATATTACTACGATGGAAGCTTGGCAATAGGTACGTATTATTTCTGGTACGAACCGATCATAAAGAACGGCTAATTTACCGATTTCAAATAACCACAGCAACCGTACGACATAGACATGACCAACGCTCCATCTTCTTGTTTACTGTAGATCTAGTGAGAGTCTCAGACTTTGTTCTTTTTCCGATTGTTTTGTAACGCGTTACGAGGATATAAGCTACATTCCTTAGCTAATAAATAGCTTTTCATATCGTTTATTAATTACAAAATATAAAATAAAATTGCATCCGTCATTTGTATTATATCTCCTAATATCGGGGGTCGCAAGTTTGTTGACGTTTCTAATTATAGCGTTTCCGAACTTGTTTCTAATTATTGTTCATTTAAAATTTAAAAGAGAAAAACCAAGACAGAAATATCAATAATAATATTTAATTAGGTTAATAAATGATCACGAATTATCACTAGATAACTGCAAAATTGGTCAACACTAATAAACTATAGAATGATATATTAATCAATCCACAAAGAATTACTAATCATTATAAATATTTACCAAAACGCAGTACTAAAATAACTAAATGCAATAAAAACTTAATGCTAAACCAAAAGGGCTAGGGTGGGTGGGCAAAAAAGACTAGAACGTGATCTCGACTACAAAATAAGAAACAGAATGGCGAGCAAAAGCAAAATAACCTATATATAGGTAATTAAACAACCTATCAAATTCAATAACAGAAATTTGAAATAATCCAATCAGCAATCTAAAAAATAAACCGTTGACCAACGAGATAAGCTGATATAACCAGAGGTCAACTCGATTCAAATAAAAACTTTATCATTCACAAGAATTAATCGATTTTAACAGGTGTATTAAAATACGCTAAATTATTGTTCATTTAAAATTTAAAAGAGAAAAACCAAGACAGAAATATCAATAATAATATTTAATTAGGTTAATAAATGATCACGAATTATCACTAGATAACTGCAAAATTGGTCAACACTAATAAACTATAGAATGATATATTAATCAATCCACAAAGAATTACTAATCATTATAAATATTTACCAAAACGCCAACCCACAGGCCAAAAACATAATTGCAAAAAAAAAATTATATGCATATATATAATTATACTATACAACAATAAATATGATTATTCAAAATAATCATACAAAACACTAAAAGTTCACGAAATAAACTACTGAAAGCAGTCAATTGTCTTACGATGATTTATCCATAAATCTCGAATACACATTCAATTTGAGAAAAAAACAGTGTTCATTCGAGTTTACACACAATTCACTGAATACTGTTCTGTTTCTAGGAAAACGTCAGATACCATTTTCTCTAGAAATAACACAGAAATCACTCATTGTCCATATTCTAGGAAAACGTCAAATACCATTTTCTCTAGAATGAATTACTCCAAAGTATGAAATATTACTTTGTAAAGTATACAGCTGAATTCATAAATTCATAAAAAAGAAACAATAGGTAGCAAATACAAATATATGAAATCTCAATCATTCATAGAAAGAACAAAACTTTTCTAGGAAAACGTGAAATACCATTTTCTCCAGAAATATTTTCTTCAAGGTATTAATTTTTACCTTGTAAAGAAAGATAGCTAACTTGATAAGAATCTTATTCAAGATAAGCACCCTTAAACAAAATTCAAATATTAATGCCCACACTATCCTTAGTATAATCAATCTACAGCTTGTACAGATAATATAATACAAAACGAAATGAATATATGGATACGAATAATCCATAAGCTCCTCTCTTAAATGGGAGCGAAAGGCACAACCTTAATAATTACATGTGAGCAACAGTATTGATAAAAAATTGTCTTAACCGTCTTGTGCCCTCTAAGTTCAAATGTAAGCCACCATCTTTAATAGCAAACAACTCTCTCTTAGGGAGGTTGGCTTTCATGAAAGGACGAAAAGACTTCAAAAATTTGATTTTCCTATCTTTACAAATTGATTCTAGAGTCAAATTAACCTGTTTGACCTTCGCACCAGTACTAACAAAGTCAACTGGACGAGGCAAAATAGAAGACATATAAATAGTATCAAATTGATCAGTAAAGTTTTTAACAACTGAAATTAAATTTGAATACAAAGAAGAAATTTCTCCAGCAGATGAACTATTAATGTCATTTGTACCCACATGAATAATGATATTATCATAATTCAAGTTAACTGCTCCTTTGGCTAACTTTGAAGTCAACTTTGAAATAGTGATTCCAGGGAAAGCACGAATATCAGTGTCCCAAATGTCAGAAACATGTTTGGCAATAGAATCGGAAATGATGATACATTTCTTGATTTTAGGATTTCTTAGACGATTTAAACGGGAAACTGAAGAAAAAAGAAAAGAAAAGAACTTAAACACAAGTACAATAAAGTGAATACCAAACAAAGAGAGCACAAGGATTAACACACATATTTGTTTCACTTAAACATTAGCTTATCACTAACAGAATTTAAAATACTAATTTTATCTTGTACGGAAAGGGATATATAACGTTTGTAGACATCTGAATGCCAATCACCCAAAATCTGAATTTCATCAGCAGCAATGTTAGAAGCAAAGGCAAATGTAGCAAACCCACGACGAAAGGAATGTGACGAAAATTTAGAAGAATCATAACCCAATTCAGAGAGAAGAGATCTTAATCTCTTTTGAAACATGTAATAAGTAACTGCTTTATCATTATTTAACACAAATAAAGGTTGATCTACACTTTTAGTAGGAATAACCTTAAGCATATGATTATATGCAGTAACAGGACATAAAATAGAAGGATACAATTTAATAATAGGAGTTTGTAACAAACGTTGGCCAAATTGTATAGTTTTAGACCATCTAAAAGTAACACAAAGATTTTCCCCAATGGTAGACACATCACCACGTAATAAAAAAGACTAGAACGTGATCTCGACTACAAAATAAGAAACAGAATGGCGAGCAAAAGCAAAATAACCTATATATAGGTAATTAAACAACCTATCAAATTCAATAACAGAAATTTGAAATAATCCAATCAGCAATCTAAAAAATAAACCGTTGACCAACGAGATAAGCTGATATAACCAGAGGTCAACTCGATTCAAATAAAAACTTTATCATTCACAAGAATTAATCGATTTTAACAGGTGTATTAAAATACGCTAAATTATAGCATTTCCGAACTTTTCCGTATGCAAATGAGTTAATTCCGAATGAAACCGATCGGGCCCGAGAGCTTTTACAAATGGCGGGGATTTCAAAAACTGGCGATATTATATCCAGTTGCATCCGAGTGTTTCGGCGAAATAAGATTAAAATTGTATAGCAGTTCATCATTAATGAGGATATACTTATGATTTAGGTGATAATTTCTGAAAACTAAGTTGTAGGGTAAAATATCATCGTTGAACGGTATTATAACTTTAAGACGAGCTATGAACATAATAAATGTTGTATAACAGATCTTTCATTACGATCCAAATCACTATAATACTGTAAAAAAAATAATTAAAATATTCGTTAAACTTAAAGAATAAATTTATTAATATTCAAAACCCCGAAAAGATAATTTATGGGGAATTTAAAATTTGACAGTATGGACTATTTCTATCACCACATTTTCACGTTCTTACTGACAGCTGGAATTTGTGGATATTGAAAACTCGAGTCAATTCCAATTTCATTTTCGCGCACCATACAACTTTCATAAAGCATTGATATGTGTCGAAATTTATAGGTTAAAATGGTGTAACAAAGGTAATTATTGTTGATTTTTTTCTTTAGTTACCAAACACGATATCACGAATGCAGAATATTATTATGGAGTTTTATACTAAATTGCAAGTATCTATTGTTAAAAGGATAAAAGGATTAAATATTTCATATAAAAATGATTATGTTAAAAAGGAAATTGAAACTTTTTATGCTTCTTGTAAAGATTCAAAAGGCATAGAGCTTAGATATTTTGCATAAGGCATTGTCTGGTAGACCTCTTCCAAGATTGTTGAAATTATAGCCCTGGGGTCAAAATCGGCCCCGCCCCGGGGGTCATTGATTTTCACTATATGTACATATAGTAAAAACTTAAAATACCTTCTTGTAAAGACCCAAAAGGTCTAGTGCTTAGATATTTTGCATAAGGCATTGTCTAGTAGACCCTTACCAAGATTGTTCAAATTATAGCCCTGGGGTCAAAATCGGCCCCACCCGGGGGTCATTGATTTTCACTACATGTACATATAGTAAAAACTTAAAATACCTTCTTGTAAAGACCCAAAAGGCATAGAGCTAAGATATTTTGCATAAGGCATTGTCTGGTAGACCTCTACCCAGATTTTTCAAATTATAGCCCTGGGTCAAAATCGGCTCGCCCCGGGGGTCATTGGTTTTCCTGATATGTATATACGTATCGTAGTAAAAACTTATAGTAAAAACTTTAAAAAAATTCTTCTAGCAACTGACAAATGCTAGAGGTGTGATATTTTGCATGAAACATTGTGAATTAAACATCAAGCAAAATTGTTCAAACTGAAGCCCTGGGGTCAAAATTGCCCCCGCTCCGGGGGTCATTGATTTTCATATTGTACATACGAATAGTAAAAAAATAAAAAAGTATGTTTGTCTGAAGGTACAAGGCATAGAGCTTTGATGTTTGCTTTATAATATTATCTACAGGTCCTCCACCAAAGTTGTTCAAATTTTTCCTCTGGTGTCAAAATTGGCCCTGCCCGGGGGCAGTGACTCTCATTATGTACACATAGTAAAAACAGAAAATTAAACAAATGTTTTTTGAATGGGAGAAAGCTACAGCTTAGATATTTAACTTGAAATGTTGTTTGGTGGACATGTATCAAATTAAACCCTTTGGTCAAAATTTTGCCTTACCCAAGGGGACAGTGACCTACTTTCTTGTCCTTTGATGTACTGCAATGAAATTTTGACCATGTACACAGTTTTAGTTGTAAAATTGAACTTTGATATCAGGTGACCTAGATTTTGATGATGTGACCTACTTCCTTGTCCTTTGATGTACAGCTATGAAATTTGAACCATGTGCAAAGATTAATATATAAAGTGAACTTTGATATCAGCTGACCTAGATTTTGACAAAGTATCTTACTGTGTTGTCCTTTGATGTAGTCATGAAATTTAGGCTGTGTGAAATATGACCTTCACCACTACATTCAGTAGACTCAAGTGCATTGATATATTCCTACTCTGATCTTTTATTGAGTTAACAATAGATTCAACCACTAATCTGCAAGTATCTATTGTTAAAAGGATAAAAGGATAAAATATTTCATATAAAAATGATTTTGTTAAAAGGAAATTGGAACTTTTTTATCGGTAAAAGTAGGACGAATAGTTAAATTATAAAGGTAAACTGTCCAAACATTCATTTATCTTCAAAAAGTAATTTTCTTTGAAATACGCAACATAAGTATCTAAGTGTATCTTGAATTGTCAATGTGGATTGCCTTCCTCTGTTTCAGGTTTTGACTAAATAGTATCTCTTCTTTTGTGCACATTGTATTTGTCTTCAATATTGTAGTTCGTTTCAATTTGAATTAAGGTTTTATGTGTTACGATTTTTGTTTGTTTAAAGAAGTTTCCGGCAGCTTAAAACTCATTTTTAGGGAAAAATAAATAAAAAGTAGGATGGTTGTCCTAAGTTTTTTTTTAAACATTTGGTCATCTCAGAATATTCTTTAATCGCCAACGTTTCAATCGAAACTACATCCAAAATTTTTTCAAGTCTATTAATAAATCAAATTATATTACATGTATATGATACGATTCTTTTTGGGGCTGAAAATTTACTGTTTTTTGATAGCTATGCTAATACAACTTATTCATGCTTGTTTTAATAAAATACATTTACAATCAATATCCAGTTGTTCTTTTTTTATGATATAGTTAGAAATTATCATTATGCCATGACAATGTTTCAACTAAACGGAAAAAAGATAAAGTCAGTGCGCCATTTTTACTGTAAATTTATAGAAAGAAAGAAAGAACGAAAGAAAGAAAGAAAGAAAGAAAGAAAAGAAAGAAAGAAAAACGAAATAACTAAAGAATACTCAGAAAAATTGAAACTGTTGCAGGCTCAGTTTGATTGAGTTTGTTCATAGACGGTACTAAAGAGCCTTAAAAATAAAAAGTTAATTTTTAACACAGATAAACTGGACAACGTAAAACGGATATACTCAGAAATTAATTGAAAATCATATTTGGAGCTATTTTAGCCTGATCTGAATAAAATCGTTGCAATGCTTTTAAATTTCAAACAAATACAACTATAAATATTAATCTAGGAAAAGGCAATAAGCGAACCATAAATTTCAAAAATATATATCGGATTCAAAGGTGTGGTGTCGAAAAATCATAGTGAAATACCGTTAACTTGCTTACTGACTTACAAGAAAATTTATACATATTTGATTACTTTACAGTCTAAATTATAAATTCAATATCACATTTTCCATGACTTTCTTTTGAAAAACAGTTTTCTCACTCATGATTATGCCCCACGCGAGAACACGGATTTTGAAAATCAACAAATAGAATTAAATTTCATCTCACACAAAAAGCCCAAATAAATACCCTTTACATAATAATCGAAAAGCCTTGCAAAAATCTTTTTGGTCTTATCCCGAGACATATCTATTATTTCATTAAAGTAGATGCCCGAGCGGACGTAAACTCAATGTTGATATTTAATAGTATTAGAATAAATTCAAAATATGATTCGTAAATATGTATTCTTTGAATAATCCATGCATTCTTTGAAAGAAAAAGGAAGCAAGATGAATTGTATTTAAAATGGTATGACAAAACTCTTTAGATAACAATTTGTCAAAAGAATGATTAATTGCATCTTGAATGCAGTCATTATATATCAATGAATAATTGCGTTTTTAGGTTCAGATAATCATATTCTTCATCTTTCCTCTTTAAATGCCAACCAATTATTCAACACATTTCAACCACTTGCTTTTCAGATGATTAGAATTACAGCAGAGTATCAAGTATTTTGAATGCATCCAAATTTCAATGAGAGGACAAAAATAGAACTTAAAATTAACATTTTCTTTATGAAAAGGCATAAAAGAAATCTAAATAACGTTCTCAAACAAAGCGGCTTTTGAGAGATATATACAATGTTTATAGAATAAATTAGAATGCAATAAAACATAGAAATAAACGAGGCCCGGGTTTTCAGAAATACAAGGAGGAATTTTGACAATACAATATACAGACACTTAAATAAAAATAAAATCATACTAAATACATTTCATATGATTAAACAGCAGATATACGATAATTTTCCTGATCAAGGCAACAACCATAATTGTATTAAATATCTGATTTTTTACATACTTTTTCAGTATTCATGAAATAAAGATATGAGGAAACAAGTCATTATGCATGCAGATAAGTTGCTTTCAAAACTGTAGTATAAAATCATGATAAAGACGTTCAAGTTTGGTTGATATCAAAATGTTTGTTTTCGTCTATATCAACATTTATGACTTTAAAATATGAAATATTATCTTATTTAAACATGTATCTGATGTGCACATTTAAACTGTTGTAACTGCATAAATATTGCGAAGGACATCAAACTAGCTGTCAATATTTGACTACAATTGAAGTGTGTCATGAAATATTTCAAAACACCTTTTTGTTCTAAAAAAACACACTGATATTTATCTAAAACTAGACAAAATGTGTTTAATAATTTAATTTTGTAAATAACATGGTATGTCTATTTGTCTCTCTCTTACATTCAGATGTCTGTTCAAATGTATGAATAACACCTTTTATATTTAAAGTGACATTATGTTCATCAAAACGTAACTGGTGAGATTCTTTTTGGAATTTATGGTTATGGGTGTCATATTTCTTTTTGTTGAGTTTATGAAATGTTCGTTGTATGTTAATATATTTATGCTAATGGAATGTTGAATAAAACTTTATAAATGAATACTGAGCTTTTTCCTCAACATGATTGTTGTACCGGTACATTGAAATATAAAGGAAAACCATAAAGTTTATAAATTGTTGCTGGTACAATTTTTTTTTAAGTTAAAGTGACATTATGCCCATAAAAGTGTATATAGTAAATGAACAGATGAAATTCAAATTATGTTTTCATTTTGCTTTCCTTTCAAGTATAACAGACGGTTTCAATACATTCGTTTTTTACAAGGCTATCCTTTGGTGTATATGTAAAAACCAGAAGGTTTATCATTCAATTAGAGGCCAACCAGAAATCAATAGCACGTGCGTTATAGACTGGCTTAAAAATTCTCTTGAAGACGGTGGGGGGGGGTTGTGATATAACAGTGATACTGAAGGTAGTTTAATTTTAAGCACACAGTTTTGTTAAATTCTTTTTTCTCTAAAACATTCGCATAATCATACATGTTGTTTACCATTTCTGTTTTTACTAAGATACAACGCATCGTTTATTATTATTAAGGTGTTACGGATTTATTTTATTTCCTTTACTGTCCTTCTGATTATCTTGTCTAGGACCATTTTAGCTTCTGGTTTCTAATTATTTCAAATAGAAGAACCTATTATGTAGTTTCCGTTTTCCTTGCATCCGTATATTTCCTGTAAGGAACAAGGTTGAGCAAGCGAGCTAATTACTTCTACTGATAATGCCCTCAAGAAGGTCCCAGGATAATGCCCCAAAAAGCCACTGTAAATTGTATATACCTCACGCAGAGTGGATTATTTTGTAATTTTAATACATTAATATCGAAGGTCACTTCCTTGTCATTACTCATATTAATTGTCACTGGTCTTTCATAGTTATATTTCAGCAGAGTCACGCTGCCTTTTAGTGTTTGCAAAAAAGAGACCCAACAAACATGATATAACATAATAACCGAAACCTTTAATACTGATAGAAATCTGAGATAAACTGCGATGCATTTTACAAAATATGTAATAGCAAGTTGTCTTTGCAATTTAGCTTGAAAACATAGAAATATAATTATTGCTGCCCGCTTAATCGTAGGTTATACCAGTCATACTTAAAGGGAGATGAAAACAATAAGTAATTGATGAGTATCATAATAACTTAGACAATTCTTTCTTTATTTGTTTAATAAATGTATATTAGAAAATTAAGGTAAATCTATTTTGAGAGATTATTAAACAATTTGATTTAATATAAAATGTGCACAGCGAATAAAAATGAAATACATTAAACTTTATATAGACAACAACAAAAAAGCAGTAACAAAAACAACAATTATTATGATATTAATAATCATTACAACAGATAAATGAATGAAATGTTGATGATAATGTTGACAAAGACAACAATGATGATGGTGGTGATTATAATGACGATGACTAATGACAATGCTGCTGCAGCTGATGTTGATGATGATGGTGGTGAATATGACTGATGACGATGCTGCTGCAGCTGCTGCTTCTATTGCTGATACTGTTGCTGTTGCTGCTGCTGCTGCTGCTGCTGATGATGATGATAATGATGATGAAGATGATAAGGCAAGTCTTAAAGAAGACCATGAAAAACGCACCTTAAGGAATCAGTTTGTAAAAAAATCTGATTTTCCAAAAGACATGTCGTTTTAAGTTAAATATCTTTGAGACTCTTCACGTGCTACTCACATTACGGCTGCCAATGACAAAAGTCCATCTAGTAATATATATTCATTATATATAATTATTAAATATTATATATAATATTATACAGTTTTCACTGAACTAAACTTCTGATAAAATACTACAAGTATGTAACGACTAAATTCGCATTACTTTAAATCTGAAACCATCTGTATTATATCGTTTGTAATAACCCATAGAAATGTCATTCTATATAAACTAGTAATATGATCCAGGGTGAATCCCATTTTATAGACACAAATAAGTTATTGCATTTATGATACAATTATTTAACTATTCATACACAATCTATACAATATGTTGAATGCTTGTGAAAAAATGGTACGGTTGGGGACATTCCCTCAAAATCTCTGCACGTCATCTGGTTTTCTGAGATTTTTGAGTAACTGCATCAATGTGTCAAGTAATAAATGTGGTATAATTTCGAAACCGAGAATGATATAACAAAAAATGAAAATTTCACTGTATTTTCTTAAACAAATCGCCACAGATCCTTATTTTCTACCATAACAAATGTTTAATTCTAAATTACGCAAGTTCATTAAGAATAATCTTCAAATGATCAAATCATTAAGAAGACAATAATGGTTATTAGAAACTAAGAGGGAACTAAACAGGTTAAAACTCAATGAACCAGCTGAATAACAAGATTAATCTCGTTCCGCAAGATACATGTTGATGATATTTTTTTTTCGAATCATTTCTTCACTTTTTTGAGCTGGGAAAGAACCTGCGACCATATCATTACTAAACTTGTGCGTTAGTTCAGCTTCGATATAGTGGAATGGCCAATGATAATGTTGTAAACACTTTTGGCCAAACCCTTTTGTATATTGTGAAATTTGTTGATGTAAAAACATTAATGTGTATTTATGTATGCAATAAATATTATTCAATTAAGGTAATGTAGTATGTTGTCATGCAAAATGTTTAATATATTCATTTTCAAAAATTATAGTCAAGGTTTATTTCGTTTTCTGACTGTACATCTCCAGTTCCTTCTGGACTACAGAGATATGTCGTTTTATCATGGCACTGAAGGAATACTACATGTATTGTGAGCATTCCATGCGTTTCATTCACATAGGTCGCATTCGATATTGTGTTGAAATCCGGAATATTATCTCCTGATTTGATTGACGATACAGACTCTTCATTAGTCCCTGTGATCTTAATGTCAGTAAGCCCTTTAAAGTCTTCCACGATACAGACAATGTCAAGTTGTCCCCCAATAGTAGTTGAATGTCTGTCACTGAAGAAAATGTCTGAAATTCAAAAGACTTGGTTTATAAGATAGGATTAATTTAATGTCATGTAAGCACAAAAATCAAGAAAAGTCTACTCGTGTCAAACTTTCAGCCGGTGACGCTGTCGTTGACGATAATTTGCGTATATCGTTACCTGTCATGAATAAGCTGAAATAAACTGCGTCTGCGAAATTTTCATTTTTACCGTTTTTGCGTTGTTTTATACTTTTTGTACTTGATTTTACAAAACCAATAGACGCTGAAATGTAATGTCCGCAACGTCGCAGACTGATTTCTCAACATGCACATTAATTCTGCGATTTTTTTACAAATATCGGATGTCTCAAGACTGTCGTAAGACAATTATATGGCAGACGTACGATTTCTAGAGGTTCTCGTTTAGGGTTTGTATTTCGAGGACCGCAGGTTTGCCACACGAGCATCTCGCGACTTCTGCAATCCGAAATCATATAATGTCAATAGACAGATTTATAGATCTGTCTAGATAGACTGCGAAATTGCCTGAGACTTTTCTACGGCACATATTTCTCATATTTCTCTACAAATCGTGCGAACCAAATTTCGTGCGGCTGATGTGATTGAGACTTAATTAGTTAAAGTGTGACCGAGTTATCACTATTACCTGTTATTGGACAACCTCTTGATGGCGAACACGGACTGCATGTTTCAGATTGGTCGTCATAGCATGCATTGTTGTCACATGCTCTCACTTCCTTAACTGAATTGAAGTGATTCTTTTTATCACAAACGATGATATGTTCGCAGTCATACGGGTACAGTATCACACGTTTAGAATTGCATAAAGTATCTATAAAATAAGAAGTCAGCGATAAGAAAAAGTGTCTGACATACAATATAATTATGTAAAATTAGTAATGTACCAAAACAAAAGTGCCAGACTTACCATTGTTGAAATGTTCTGTCAAATAAGAATTGAACAATTCGAATAAGCAAATAAAGGTTTCTTATCATGTTTGAAAAGATTTTAACACACACATTGTAATTTTACATATGTGCAGAAGAAAGTAAAACAAAAACAACAACAAAGGTCAAAATCATACATATAGCCACCTTACGCCACTATCAGATGTGAACACTGTTTGGTCAGTTGCTTCTTCTAACGGTTTTGCAGTGCATCTGATATGTTTCCTGTGCTATTCCTTTTACACATTTTTTAGGCCAAATGTCACTTTTGTCTTATGGTATCAATCCACGCTGCATTTGTATTGCTTACACCGTTTGAAGAGGCCCAAAACATACGGCTACTCACTTGAAAAAGATAATCTGGCTTTTTACCATAAATTAATAAGATTAAGTTCTTAGTAGCTCATTGATAGTAGGATATTTATTAATTTCATTTGCATCAATAAATTATATAACATGTAACTAAATCTACAGAATTGGCACTTTTTCATTATCTCTCTGTAAAGACTTATTCATACAGAGTTTGCAATTTTTATGTAATTTTGTTGTGATCAATGCTTTTGAAGGATCACTCTTTTTCCAGATTTTAATTATGTCATGTAAATAAGACGAAGAGGGCACATAGATATTGATTTTATAACAAACAACATCGGAATGATTGGGTTTGCAGTTTAATGAATTAAGGTAGACCATGGGTAATGGGAACCATAAGGAACTGTAAAATTGACAACATATGACAGTTATATGTCTTCAAGGTCACCTGTATGCAAAATTTAAATAAAATTTACCGTGTGGTTTATGAGTTATGGATATATTTCTTAACTAAGACTTTGCCATTAGAAGGGCCAATTTTCAGAAATGAGGAAACTCTAAATAATCTGTTATATAATCATTATAAAAATGTTTTTCTATTGCCCATTGTTAAGAAACAAATAATAACATTCAGGTAACAAATAACACAAGCAAAATGTTTGTTTCTAAACAAAATGTTCTTAATATGTATAAAAATGTTACCCTACCCCACCCACTTTAAGCACTAATTTTACCATTTCCCAATCTAAAATGCCTTATTCAAAATAGTCCTAAAATTTACCATGATGAGGGGCTGTTTTCAAAGTTTGCCTAAATTTCCTTAAAGGTATATTGGTTGATCATGCGAAATATAAAATACTTTTACCGTGTAGTTTTTATTTTATTAAACTTTGAAAATATCTGGTATCATATTTGCTATAATTTTGGCATTATTTAGCAAATAAATACCTACAAAAATTAAATAATTTAAATCAAACCCTTATTTCTTCAATTTTTCTTCCATAAGGAATCAGAGAGATTCATAAATAATGTTAAAAAGAAAAAAAGAAAGAAAAAAAAGATACCCCTTCTGGGATTTGAACCCACGCCCCTCAATTTCAATGTAGTTTGCAAGAGATTTTAGCCTATTTGAATACTCTTCAAAGTGGAGGTAATGCATTACCCATGGTCTACCTTAATGAAAATAATCATATTTCATCATATAAATAAATAAATATACATGTATAAATAAATAAATAGTGATTTCAAAAATCATGTAGTGATTTACTAATCTTGTCTGATTTATGTGATTACTAATTGATCAATATTAATGATTATTGATAATGTTAATTACCCAATGTTTGACGAAGACAGCAGAGTTGTAAAGGAACCATCATTGTCAGTGTCAATGGTCACGCGAACGTTCGGTTCCGAAAACAACTTTTCACAATGGAAATGTGTGGATTTGATATAATACTATGTTGTGTAAGATTAAAAGAAGTTCTGTATCAAATATTACCTTGTATTCGAACAATTTTCACATCACGAAATGTGTTCACGGTATCACTTGTTTCAATATCACAGGTTATGTTTATAACACCGGGTTCTTCGAAAGCATCGGAGCATTTGACGGTCTCAATCATCACTTTAAATGTACCCGATTCATGCGATAATGGTTTTTTGTGTGTTTAAATGTTACATTCTGCTTAATCCAGTGCTAGGGGGGCGTGGACGGTAACATGCACTTTCCAGTACAACATGAACAGGCTCAATCAAACCGAGTCTGCAATATTCTCAATTTTCTTAAGGGATTCTGTTTTCCTATTTTTTTGAATCGGTTTGTCTAAAAAGCGAGCATGTGGTTTACTTTAATTTCAAAGTATTTACCTTGTTATCAAGTCAGAAAAAAATAGGTGACGTGGTAGTATAAATAATGAATTTTCTTTTGAAAAGTTTTATATTTTCTTAAGTGATTTAGTATATGAATACTTTGATAAGTATTATTATATCAATATATAAATATATTTCATATCACAAAAAAAGACCGACAACATCCATACAAAATTAAAACATACATAAAAAAGGCAATGCCTTTAAGCAAAAAAAAAAAATACATAATAAATAAATAAATAAATAAATAAATAATACTTAAAAATACCAAGCGCAAATTTAACTTAATAGCGAAACGAGGTCATCTTGCTAATTGTTTAGTTATTTTTAATTGTCAATAAATAGGAAGTCTAGTTGCCAATGGACAGATCAGAACATAATTTTATTACTTGGTTTAAAAGAAGTCCATCACCATATTACATATACAACATACAATATATAATTGACACATCACATTAATATGTATTACTGAAAAATGATGGTTAATGAAATGTGAAAAAGCGATCGGAAATTACTTGATTGCTTTAAAGGCATTTGAATACATATGGAGACATAATTGAAGATATTCCTATGCATAGCCTCTAAAAGAATATAAACATCTACAGACGAAATAAAAGAAAATCTTGAATGTCGGCTAGCACAGTGAAATTGACAATCATTCAGGCTTGGTACGATTTAGCCTGGTCATGGTATGCAGCATGATAATTTGAAAATGATGCAATGTCATCCGAAGATGTCAATAACCTATACCTTAAATACGACAAAAGGAAGTAAAGGTAGGTTAAAAATAAATAGTAAAATAGTGAAAGTAATAAGTAAAAGGAAGTGTGATGGTCTTGTATGAGCAAAGATATTTTTTAAATAAGGCCTACTTCACTTTTGAAATTAACATGGCTCTAAAGATGGCTTCCTGAAAAACTTTGCTTGCATCCACATTTGCACTTTTTTCTGAATTCCCACGCCAATATGAGGAACACCAAAAGCGCATTATGGTAAAAAATACACTTTTACTGTAAACATAATAACCAGAGACATTACGTGTATTGTCTGAGATAAAGGACGACTACAGCCGCACATTGCATCAAAACAGTACACTTTTACTGTAAATATAATCAAATAAATGGTTGCATTTATTTATAGTTTAAAATGTATCTTGTTGTATTTGTATTGCAATTATCATTAAGGTGATGAATGGTACGTGTTTAAAATTACCTTTTAAATCACCAATAGAGGCAGAACCAGAATTACACCAGTAATTATTTTCGATTTACTACATATTTTCTTCTCCTTTATATTTGGTGCAGAGCCTCGTATTTTATCACTTTTAATCAACTCGTTTAATAAATTCAATATGAAAAGACACGAGTGTAAGATTATTTTTATCACATAAACCGAATAAGCCTTTTAATATGCCAAGAGTAGACTCAGTTCCCCTTTAACAGATAATGGGGTCAGTGAGTAATAAGGTTATTCATAAGTGGGCAAATAAAATAGTGCAACAATTTGTATTTCAATAACTTTTAATTTTTATTGTCTAAATATTAAAACAGTGTGATGCTTTCTAAATATGTAAATATGTATCATGAATAAGTATTTCATGTCATCATTATATAATGAAAATTAACTCTGACACAATTATGCATTAACATGTGATGTCACTATGCATGTCGTCATCATAGTGGGAACGACATAAAATTTGAAGTGTACATGTCGACCTTCTGTGAATCGCTATCGCTTTCAATGATTCTTCTACGTTTTATGTGTGGAAAAGATGGGGATACATTATTTGCGCGATTAATGTAAACATTGAAAGATCCACCATGGATTGGACCAGCAAAAATGCTATGGAATTCACCAGTGTGATTTATATTTGAAGTGGAATTTGTTGAATTTAATTTCTGGGAGTGCGAGGTCAATGACGGCGTGTTGTTTTAAGGATATGCTGTGTAGTTTGGATAACATAAAGTGTCATTATTTGCAAGTGCAATGTCATGTGGCGCATACAAAATTTTAGATTTTTCTCTGTGTTGACTGTAGTTATTAATTGTGGATATATTCTTGTGACCTGAAATTTGCATGATCAGGGCTGGGAATCAAAACTGCGTCGTATCCTACAAAATGTAAACAAACGCCGCCATCTCGGAACGAAAACTGTATGTTTTTGTTTATAACTCTTTTAGTTGGAAATGACTGAAAACCAGATATATGTATTAACACGCTACACTATCCGCTTCGTTCGGTATATGTTCAGGGCTGGGAATCAAAACTGCGTCGTATCCTACAAAATGTAAACAAACGCCGCCATCTTGGAACGAAAAATGTATGTTTTTGTTTATTACTCTTTTTTGTTAGAAATGACTGAAAACCAGATATATGTATTAACACGCTACACTATTTTCCGCTTCGTTCGGTATATGTTGCTTACACAACTATTTTGTAAAACAAAAGTTATAGCGAACTTGCAACTCGAAGCGGGGCAGAATTTTTATTAAAATGTGTGGATACGACGCAGTTCATATTGCTTTATCTATCGTTTTTTTCCTTCAAATCAATTATATATTCGTTTCCGAGTTCACCATAAACTTTGAAATATAATTTTGCATCATTTACTTAAATTTCATTAAAAAGAGATTTTTATTTCTAAGAAAATAATGATTTTTACGAAATGATACGACGCAGTTGAAAATAAAATATGATACGACGCAGTTGTATTTTTGGCAGTCGTTTCAACAGGGATAATTTTGGCAATATATTTCTATTTTATGGAATTATCACTTGCGCTAGATAAAAAAAACCCAGATTATTTGCGGTGTATAGCAATGTTCTGTTGCTTTTGATTATTAAGAATACATTGTGTCATGTCCAGTATAACATATAATTTGAAAGTTTACATTGCGGAAGCTACTTTTCAGTTAAACATAAACATGTTACCTAATTGATCATAATATCTGAAATAAGTTTTTATATTTTCCTTTATGTTCAATATTATCCCTAATTTTTTTGCAAAAAAAAATGTAGAAATCTATTAACTTGAATTCGTTGTGGCTAGCTACGCTCTAAGTTAACTGTGGTTCTGCATGTTCTGGGTAATGACTTCTTTTCAAACTTTCACTCTACACATTAGCGCCTTTGAGCATTATTTCAGGCAAAATGCTGCACCTGCAGAGAACTATCGACATTTTAAAACTAGCTTGATAGGTTTTCCACATGAAAGAATAAAAAGTTTCGGTGGTTTTCGAATTCATAGCAGTTCAGTCCAAGTGATTTGAATTCAGTAAACATAAACAGCTCGGCCTCGGTCGGACAAACCTGTCTGAATTGTTTTTTCAACAAAATTTGTTAACGTCAGCTGTACAAATAAGCAGGTTTTTTATTAACTTCTGGCGTGAAGTTTTAAGATTATAAATATTTGAATTAATTATAAAGAGAATAACATTTAAATTTCTTATTTCGGTATGACTAACAGAGAAATTTTCAATGTAAACAGGGGGTAATCCTCTGTGAAGTCGTTTTCAGGCAATTCATTATCAAATAAAAATCACACTTTAGTATGAAGGTATGTTAAGATGTCATGTCTCTAGTCTGTTGAAAATTCGGTGCGATAATCTGACCTAAATTTTCTGTTTAATATTGTGAAAACTTCTTCAATACTGTTGAAAAATCATGTCTGCCTATATTTGTATCAAATTTATCGGTGCACAGCGTAAAAATACCTTTGCAAAACGGACACTTTCTTTACAAAATAATTTGTAGTTGTATCATAATATTATGTAACTCGATTTTGAAAATTTAAAGGTGTTTTTTATGGAGAAGAATGATACTTAAGTGCAAATATAAAAAATACATTCCGTAGACCTTTCCCAACGGCGATAAAGTAATGCAATAAGACAAAACCAGCGGTAAAGTTCTCGGCGCTGAACATAAAATGACTAAACGGAACGCATAACCTACTTGCAAAAATATATTGTAGCTTAACCATTTATAATTTAATTTTAAAAATTTAATGTTCAGTTTCAAATAATAAAGCTCATCTGTTATTATGAAAATGAATACAATAAAATCGGCACGTAAAAGACATAAGTAATAACGGAATAGACAGAAATTATTGCTAATTACAAGTAACAAAGATAGGCATGCAATTTGCGCATAGCTCTCTCCCGATAGCGAGAGACCTTTTCAAAATTTGTAATTCTTTCTCTTTTTTATATAAAAAAGTAATTCCTGATAAATACAGGGTCCAGGAGAGGTTACACTGGAATATTGAATGTTGTATCAAAAATAGTAATCACTCCCATTTCGAACTCGTGGGAACAAGTTTATAAGCATGCTAAGGCAACACTAGAACACGTTGTCATATGGGTGTGCGATCACGTGTTTCAATGTATATTGCATTTGGCACAGCTTCTCGGAATTTGTAGATGCTTATGATAGGTACTAAAATGCGACCGAAAAATGCAGCCTTAATAGAATTGTATTACATTTCCATTTTTATGAAACCAATGAGTGACCTCTGCTTTTGACTTTGAAGTCTTAAACAAGAAATGTTGTTGGACGTTATTAGCATACCTAGCACATAATTTAAATAGTTTAACCAATATGCAGCATGCAATGAAAATAAAACTGCGTCGTATCATATTTAATTTTCAACTGCGTCGTATCATTTCGTAAAAATCATTATTTTCTTAGAAAATAAACATCTCTTTTTAATGAAAGTTTAGTAAATGATGCAAAATTATGTTTTGAAGTTTATGGT